GAAGCAAGGGACTGAGCCGGTGGGGTATGCTACACATTCAGTCCATAACACACAATGTAGGATGATTTTATCTGGTCCCAAAAATAATGTTAAAGTCATCTGTGCTTGATTTAGTACTTCAAGGGAAGGGAGTTCTTCCTTTGTCCTAAGTAGCCCATCTACTTATCAAAATATCTTTTAAATAAAACCATAATTCAGCGTTTTCAGAGTTAACAATACAAGGGGCATCACCTCAGATGACACACTGAACAAATCTTCATAATCTTCATAAACATAGAGGCAAACTCGATGAGATGAATAGATTTGAGTAGAACACGAGAGAGAGAAGAGAACTGATCACTGAGAGAAGCCTTGTAAGTACATAGAAAGTTGGGGGATGTATGTGTTCCTGTGTATAATCAATTTACATATATATATGTGTATATATATATGTATTCATAAATTATCTTCAAATGATACTTTGAATCATAATTTGTCAGTTGAATAGAGCAAGTGATGATTGGGAATGGTAATCTATATATTAGCTTCGAATTGCCAGAAAGAAGATTGTGACAAGACTTACTGAAGAGGCTTGAGAGATGGAGAGGACTAGAGAGAGGGCTCAGTGCTTCAGACCACTCGCTCCCTGAGAACCTAGCTCAGTTCTGAGCTCTCCTGTCAGGGCAGGAATCTTACAACTGCCTCCATCACCAAAGGATCTGATACCCTGTGGAATATACCCAAATGTACAGGTACATGTAAATAAAAAACAAAAATAAATCTGAAGTGGAGAGTTCTGGTTTCTTAACAACTCAATTGTATTATGTTATGTTTTTCTAGAAATTTTCTTGTAAGAGAGCACGTGATATTTTGCTGAAAACAAACACTTGAAAAAACATGTGATGTTTAGAAAGAATATAAATAGAATCTCACATACAGTGACAAGGTACTCTTGCATTGCTCTGCTGTATACTGCTTCACTGGACTTCATCGGTCTTTGCTGGTCTTCACTGGTGTTTGCTGGTCTTCACTTTGTAGAGTGAAAGGCACCAAAGAACTTTTCATGGTATTCTGGCTGATTCTGGCTGCTTCTTCTGACTTGTACCTTTGGTTTTTTGTTTGTTTGTTTATGTTTATGCCACCGTTACTGATTTGGGTTTGGTGTTTGCTATTGAACTAGACTGCTGGTATCCTGACAACAAAGAGTGGAATCGCCTCAATGAACTACTTCTAAACAGGTCCACAAAACCCTTTTCATATTAACCTTCCGGCTCCCTCTGGTCAGTGGGTTAGAAGGGAAGATGATGCGTTTAAGAACCCTAAATAAAGTGGGTTTTGAAAAACAGTCTAAGCCTACATAAATCTTAAAACTTTTTCAGTGGAAATATTTCTGGAGTGTAAGTGAGATCCTAGGAGCATAAGAAGGTCAGACAGCCAGGACAAGAGGAAAGAGGGTTTGTATAGCCAAGATGACAACTGCTTCTTGCAGCAAGACGACCCCAGAAGCCGTATAGAACACTATCTGCTTCCCCCCATCTGTGGCAGAGAGTCATGCATATTGCCAAACACTCTCGAGTCTTTTTCACTGAAGAGTTCTCAGTGTCTAATTGCCTTCATATCTAGGTTTCCATTTATATGAACATTGCAAGAGACCCTGGATGGGGAGTGAGCTACAAGAGTGGATCTTGGCACAGTACTAGTAGTACAGCTTGCAGGAATCCAGATGAGCAAGTTGTCTGTTCAGTGGTCTGGAGGGAGAGATAAGGCCCAGAGAATGTGGAGTGGGACTTCAGAAGTATGATACTACAGGTGACATGATTATATATTTCTGGTTTGTTAGTTTAGGGCTCTCTGCTGTGTGGTTAGCAAGTCTAACAGAGGCCTCTCATGCTGTCTTCCCTTGTTTATTTTTGACTGTTTAATATATTTATCCAGTACACTAGGATTTGTACAGGGCACTCTGGGTGGAAATCTAAGTATTATAAATCTCTTTGGCTCATTCATTAAGTTCATAGTTTTATCAATGATGTGACCCCCAATATCACAGGTACATAGTAGATTATTTTATAAAGAAATAGATGTTTTTCTGACATCAACAAGTATTATACCAAAGGATGGTGTCTCCCTGAATAAGCCAATACATCCCCTTGCAGAAAGTCTTTTTTCCCCAGGTTGCCATGGCCATTTCTTCCCTGGGAGTAGAGACCGTTTACTTTACTACCTACACTCTGCCTGAAAACAGGAGGCAGAGAGTTAGACAGATTTCTGCACTTATGGGTAAAGTGCCTCTGAGGCATAAGAAAATCTTTGGAGGGGCTGGACTCCCATAGCATCCTTGCTTCTTCAGTTACCTGGCCAGCTTCCCAGGAAGGAGGTGGAAGATGCCCTATCCTGCTGTCAACACCAACTCCCTGTGCATCCCAGGAGCCATCCAGCCACCAGCTGACTCTACCCAAACTGGCTGGCTTCAGGCAGTAACTCTCCTGGTCCTTACACAGAAGCACTAGAATGGGAAATGCTTGATTCATTAAAATCTTTGATGCAATACTAGCAACCTTGGGTCAGTCACAAGGAACACACCATAACAGGAGCATATTTTATGGCAATAAACGTTTAATGCCCAAGAAAATGCCTGAATAAAAAATAAAATCAGAATAAAATTATGCAAAAGACATAATTGGAGAGCAGGTAACTTTTCTTCTGGTCTTTGTAACTGGGAAGCCCTGGATAGCATCATGCTTCTGGCCTGGAATTAGTTGATGTATGGCTAGCTGTCAGTATTCCTTAGTATTTCCATTAAACGCTCAAGGCAAGCGAGCAGAGCATGCAGAGTGCTTTATGGGGCAGTCAAGGCAGTGAAGAAGGCTGCAGAAGGCTTTCAAGGGGAACCTCCCACCTACTGAGAGTGGAGGGCTTTTTAGATCTTTAAGGCCCCAGGCTTGGGAGACAAGACCAGAAAGGTAAATTCTAGGAGCTCTTCAAAGGGTGTGACTGAGCACAAAGACTTTTAGGAGCTACAGACCCTGCTCCCCAAAGGGAAATTCAGGGCTCAAAAAAAGGAGCAAATTACTGTATACAGCATGTCTGCAGGCCCATCTCTCTTGAAGTTGTGCTCAGTCCCAGAGTTCCAGAGAAGCTGTAGGGAGAGGACACACTAGGAACCCCCTGGGCTGAAAGCCTGCTTTAGACAGATGTGATTTGCTGTGCAGGGATAGGGGTTTGGGGGAAAGTGAGGGCATAACGCTCATTCATTTCAGCGTAACGCTGAAAATCTCAATCTCTCTCTCTCTCTCTCTCTCTCTCTCTCTCTCTCTCTCTCTCTCTGTGTGTGTGTGTATGTGTGTGTATCTGTGTGTGTGTGTGTGTTGGGGGTTGGGGGAGAGTTTGCCACGAATCCTCAGACTTGTGAGGATGATCCAGAAGTATTGCAAATCACCTAGCTCCTCTGAGACTATTCACTCATTCCTGTTCTGAATGTCTTCACATCCCACGGTGTTTCAGATTGGGTGGGGGGTGATGAGTCATGTTACTTTTTAGTCTGATTCTCTCCCACACAAAGGTGATCCCGGTAATCTGAAAATGCGTGGGGAAGAAATTCGAGTCGCGTGTGGGCAGCAGGAGGTACGACTTTTGATAGTTGTGCCCACTGCGCTTCAAAGTAGCTTGAGGAGCTTGGTTAAATTCACGTTGGCCACGTTGTGTCTCAGTTTCCTTATCTGGTCCGGAGAAGTCTCCTGCACTCTCGGCAGCAGGCTAAAAGCGCAGGGCAGATTCAGAATGGTGTGTGCGCGCTCTCTGAAAACGTCAGTCTGACTTTGATGCGTTCTTCCAGCAAGCTAGGGGTGGAAGATGCCTCGGCTCTAAAATTAGTCCAGCTTCCAGGCGAGGCGCCCAGAGCGTCCTCCTGCTGGCCACCGGGTCTCCCTGCCTCCTTCTGCTCCCCTTGTCTTCCTGTGGCACTGGGAGATCTCTGGTCATCCCCACCCCCACCCCCATCCCCTGGAGGAACCGGAGGACCCGACTCTGCAGGAGGGAGGAGGAGACAGCGAAGCTTAGCGGCGCCCGCCGCGATGGAGAACCCGGTACAGCTCCACAGCCAGCAGTAGCGGTGCAAGCTGCCTAAAGCAAACGCGAAAACCGCTCCTCCCGGCAGGCTGCGCTGTGATCTGGGCTGCGCGTTGGGACCTCGCTCCCGGGTTCCCCACCCCTCCCGCCGTCATCCTCCTCCGACTCCCCTCCTCCGCCGCCAACCCGCAGCAGTGGCGGCGTCCTGAGCGCCTAGCGCCTCCGCTCGCCGCCCCAGCCTCAGCCGGGAGCACGCGGCGAGCACTGCGGCGGAGGCGGCGGGGTGGCCAGCTCGCCCTAGGCTTGAAAAGAAGACCACGCAGGACGCGCCGGGTGCAGGGTTGCATCGCTGACCAAGGCAAGGGTGCGTGAGGATTTTTTAGCATGCTTATTTGGGAGCATGGTACACCGGCTGGGGTGCACCTTTCTCAGAACAGTCTCAGCTACCTGGTTACAGAGAGGCTATGATGGATGCTCCAGAAAGCTAAAGCTCTCAGAGAGAGTGGGGGGAAACTTTTCACCTTGTAAAGTTCCTGCCTGGGCGCTGCCTGGAGCTGTGGTCATTACCGCTACCAGCTGGAACCCAGAGAGACAGAGCCCTGCGGCAGGAGCCAGGAAATGGCACCGGAGTTGGTCAAGTTTAGGGCTAGCAATAAGAGGAGGGAGGGCTTGCGGGTCTGTGCGCGCAGCTGTGGGTTCTCCCTGAGCTTTGGCCGCTGGCTGCAGGTGGATGAGATCAGGCGGCGATTCCGCGGGGTAGCTGGCGCTTGCAGCACTCAGTGGGAAGAGGGACAGATGCCAATGGATGCACTTGCAGGACCCAGAGGCGCAAGTTGGATGCGTGCTAGAGGAGGCTATGCGCGGAGCAGAGAGCCCAGCCTCCACTTCCACGATGCAGAAAGGGTAGCCTAGACTGCTCGCCGGTCCCCCTGCATCTGTCTGAGTCTTGCCGGGTTGTAAAAGGTTCTAAATGACAGCCGACTTTGAACTGGTGCGACAGTTGGGCTGAGAAGCCAGGAGAGGATTTCTGTTGTTTTGACGGGAGATGGACCCGAATGCTTTGGGAGGACGCATGATTTTTGGCGGGCGTCAGGACTGGTCGTGCTATTTGAAAAGAGAATAGCGCTAGTCTGACCATCCCCGGGATGCCGAACGGCTCCTTGCGGCTCCTCGTGGGCACGTTGAGGGCGCACTGTTCAGCTTCCCTGAGTCTTTTCCGGAAGGTGTGGAAAAGAAACCATTGGCTTGCCGGAATGTAGTTGGGGATCTTAGGGAGCTGGCTGGAGGTGGCAGAGGGAGACTGGACAGATTTCGCGTGGCGCTCGGTGAGCGAGAGGACTTGACCAGCTGGGGTCGCTGAGCTAAAATCCATCGGGCCGGGCTAGAGAAAGGTGGCGAGCCCGGGTCTTTTTGGCAGTAATAATGCGGTCACTGTTTCTCCCCCAAGCCGACTCTTGTCGCGTGTGTTTTCGGAAATGTTTAAACATTGTCCAAGATTAGACTTTGCGGAAAGCAACTTCTGTTGCTTTTCTCTGCCGGACTCTTGGGAGCTGTGGTGCGCTCGGAGAGAGGGTGGGATGCAGAGGGCCGGGTGTTGTCGGGTGCGCTAAAGACACATCTTTTGGCTCTTGCTACCAGAGGAAAGGGGGCGCTCCTAGATGTGCGTGTTGGCGATAGCACCCACCTTAAGGTACAATAACGAGCAAGCTCAGCAGTGTGGGTATCCATAAATGAACGTGAAGGTAGGCTACAGAGACAGTGAAGATGCGGAGGTGGCTGGGAGTCTCCCAGAAGCAAGAAGCGCTGGCATCCGAGAGCGAGGGCAGCCAGTGGCTCGAACCTCCCTGAAGGGGACCCACTTCGCCACCTCTTGCGCTCCGGAGCTGGATCCTGGTGGGAGTATTCTGGAATCCTCTGCACAGAGGCTGGAGGGAGGGACACTGGACTAGGCTGAGGATGGGAGAGTCCTTTCTCTGCCTTCCTCTCTTCCCCGCCCCCAGACTCTGGCGCGTTTACTTCCAAGTTGGATCCCACTTCCATTTACAAGTGTCAGACAAACCGCGCCAAGCACCCGCTCTCTCCCGCTCAGCCAGATGGGGGAGGGCGCGGGGCGGGAGCGGTGCGCCCACCAGGGTCGGCTCCCGAAAGGCTCTCCGAAGTGGTTTCCTAGCTTTTAGGCCTGGATGTTTAAAAGGTATATAAAAGAAAACTGCAAAGCCCACAGCACTCGTGGACACTCGCGTCCCAGCCTTTTATCCTCCTTCCCATCGACACATTAATTTTCTGGTCCGACGCCTATCTTTTCAAAAGCGAGTTTGGGCGGTGGGAGGAGGGGCGGGGAGCTGCCCGCCAGTCCACCTCTGTGGCTTTGAGCTCTGGGCTTTGTTGCCAGGATTTGATTGCGCCCGGGCCGAGTTTTTAAAAAAAAAAAATGTAGAAAGACAAAACAGGCTAGACGTACTGCAGGCGAAGCTGCCTTGATTCAGGAGATGGAATGGGAGAATTGCCATCCAGGAATTGAGGACCCAGAGGCCGGTATCTCAGAAAACACAAGCTCTCTGCTGTAGGAGCCCAACTTGGGTTACCCAATGCTTGAGCGGTGGGGTGGGGGTGGGGATGGGAAGGGGAGGAGGGAGTTCAGTCTGATGTGGAGATTGAATCTCATCAGAAAGAAAGGGAGGAGATGGGAGAAAGAGAGAGAAGAGGGAGAAGAGATCGAAAAATTGAAATAAGAAGTGCTCCTAAAATATGCAGGTCATTGATGCCTTCTACCCTCCATACCAAGCCCCTGCCCTTTTTTCCCATTATTATTAAAAATTGGACAATTGCATAGGGAGAATTAAACAGTAAAATAAGTACAAAGCATGCAAGATAAACAGGGCACCAAAAGACAAAGAGTATGTTTTAATCTATAGTAGCTTCTCCTTGATATGGTTTTTATGTAGTAGGATTGCTGTGGGTGAGTTCAAGTGTCCTTTTTAATTTATTTTGATTTATTTATCTCTTTTTAGCATTGTATAGGGATACAAGTTGCTTTCAAGAAATAAAGAATAATTTAAACCATTTAGATCAGGAGTCTCCACTGTTGTCTCTGGAACTTGGACAATGAATGGTGTTGGACTGGGTTTCTATGCCCTGTGCACCGGGAGGAGAAAGTTCCCAGGACTGTCCGTGTTATAACGTCTTCATATCTGAGCCATACAAAACTCCGTGTGAGAGACAGCTGGCAATGAGATCAGAAATCGGTGAGCTGCTGAGCTGCTCCAGCTCTCCTCACTGCAGGATTTTCACAGCCAGGATTTGTTGACCAGTGACTGGCATTCCAGCCTTGCCTCTACCTGCTCTCCACATCTTTCAGTTTTTATTTATTCTGGTTCCTGGCAGAGACATTTGTGGGATTTTTAAATAGTTAGGACCCAGTCAGTCTGTTAAGCAGCAATTATATGTGTGCTGAGCTACTAAGGAATGAAACCAGTAGCAATAAATGGGGGTGGGATGGGGCATCCACAGACCTGTGTGTTGTGTGGGTATTTTACTAGCTCATAGACTTTTGTAAAGCAAGGGTTCTTCTTGGTCACATAAGATCAGTGGCAGGCTCTGTTAACCTTTCTGCATCCTTCCCATGCTGGGAGAAGGGACTGTTCTTAATCTAGAAAGTGAGTTATGTCAAATAGAAAGAAATAGTCAGCTGCCATTCTGGAGAGTTATTCAATCATAGCTCACAAGTCACAGGGTGATCTGTGAGGTCTATTAATGGTTTCTCACAGACCAACAACATGGTGGCCTCTTTTCTTGGCGTTAGGACTGGTGTTTCTCTGTGCCTTGGATTTGTGATGATTTGTGATGGCCAGTGATGGAAAGAGGAGAACCGTACTAGTGGGTGTGGTCTTTCCCTCTGAGTCACCTCCAGTGTTGTCCTGCGGTAAAAACATTGAGTAGAATTCATCTCCTGGGCTCAAGCAGGGCTGCCCCTTTACATTGATTTCTTTAATTGCAGAAGTGCTATTGTTGAACCTCGTCTTTGCTGACTAGAGAGACACTAGGATTGAAAAGGGAATTTAAAATAAAGGTACCTTCAGATGTGTGTAGTCTCAGCACTCAGGTTATGGAGTCCAGAGGACCAGAAATTAAAGATTACTCTAAAGTCCAAAGTAAGTTACAGGCCAGTCAGACACACATAAAACCCAATCTGATCTCAAAAGTGGAGAGCTAACAAACCTAAGGGGAAAGATTAGTTACCTGAGCAGGGTCTCCTTGCGGGAGAAGTCCACAGATGTTCATATGCTCATCACCACTGAAGGGAGGTACCTGGGAAACTCATTTGCTTATTAACAAAAATGCCTAAGTTCTTTTTCTTCTTCCCTGTCATTTGTTCTTTTTCCTTCCTCTTTCTCTCTTCCTCCTCTCCATCTCCCTTTCTCCTTTTCCTTACTGTTGATTATCTGTTTCTCTAAATTATGAGACCTGGGAATATGAAGACCCACAGTGTGACACTTTCCTTGGACAGACTGGGAATGAAAAGCTTTTCTTTGAGTGGATTCATTTGACTGCACTGGTATTTCAAGCCCAGTGATTTCTCTGAGTATGTTCTTGTCTTATAAGCTTTCTCCCCACTGACTCCTTTCTCCATTCTCCTCCAAGAATAACTTTAGAGAAGTTGGTTCTTAAAACAATCATCTTAATGCCACAGATTGAATCTATTGTGAAGACATTGAAAACTTGCCTGGTGACTTGAACTCTTCTGGCTTAACTTCTGACTGTCAGGTACTCATAAAATAACAAATGACTCATTATAGCAATTATGTATTCAGGTGGAATTTCCAAATTAGTCTCAGTTTTAGCCACTTCTACCATAAGAGTACTCCCCACCCCGAACTCAGCTAGAAGGGCAGAAGTTTGAGTGGGGATTTCTTGATATGATTCTGGGAAATAGAAGAAATGAAGAATTGACCTCAGAACACAACAGTCAATCCCATGATCACAGTGTTCTCTTCCTGTCAGTGCGACTAGGTTGTTATACACTGATAAAGAAACCTTGGAAGATTTTTGTAGCGGACCAAGGGTAGTCTTCCCTCAGACACTGCCTCCTGAAGATGACACCTTCTTAGACACAAAGGTTATGCAATGGATATGGATAGTTCTTAAGAATGTCGTTGGAGTTTCAAATTATGCAAAGCTTTGAAGACTCTAAGGCTCTTAGCCTTTTTATTCCCTTTTCTTACAAGTTAACTTCACGTTCATCTGTTTCTACCTAATCGTTCACTGTTTCTTATATCATTGACTACTCTTTTGTTTTATAAGAAGATCCTGTTATGTGGCCTGGAAATCATATAGAGCCAATGATGGCTTCAAACTGGGGGTGGGGGGGTGTTCCTTTCTCTACCTCCCAAATGCTAGGATTAAAGTCTTATACCATCATGTCTAGAATTCACTTTTTTTACATAATTTTCAGTAATATTTCCTGAATCTACCTCTATCTTATAAGATTCAAAGAATAACTATATCATTGCTTTGGAGATTTGATTGTTTTCCTGTTGCTGTGATTAAAAACTCAGTCAAAAGCAATTTAAAGGAGAAACTGTTTTCCAGGTTCACAGTTGCAGGCTACAATCTAGTTTCGGTTCCAGTAGCAGGAGATAGGGATAAATTGGCCACATTGCATCTATATCAAGAGACAGAGAGCAACAAATGCTTCTGCTCAACTGCCTCTTTCATTCTCATTCATTCAAAGACCCAGACCATGAAATATTGCTGCACACATTCAGGATTGATCATTCCATCTCACTTAACCCAATTAAGAAAATCCCTCACAGGCATGCCCACCATCTAAGGAAATCTTACAAATCCCTCACTGAGACTCCTTCCTATGTGATCCAGATCCTGTCATGCTGACCATAGAAAGCAGCCCTCATAGCTTTGAATACTTCTTGTTCCAATGAGAAGGCAGGATACAGCCATGCATCCACTCTGGCAATCAAAACATATTTGCAATTATTAACTAGAAAAAGAGTGACAATGAGCAGGAACCTTGAGTAGTAGAGCAGGAAGCTAGGAAGTTGCATAAACTTTTAGAAAGGATATAAAGAGAACATAATTCAACTCAATAGTATTCTTTCTCAATGAATTGATTCTCTCATAATTTTACACACACACACACACACTCACACACACACACACACATATATATAGTACTAGCTGGTTTTGTGTGTGAAATTGACACAAG